CACATGAAGTTACCAGACCGAATCCTGGTAAAAAGACTGTATCCTCCTATAAACCTAGTGGAAAGGCTTCGGGTATGAGCTGTGTCAAGGTGTCATATGTTGTGAGCAAAGCAGTCTTGAGATCGGATACGCACAAGCACTTCAGTCAGACCGCGTTCAGACTTTGCGGTGAACGCTCGAGCGGTTGGATCGCAGGATCGGATCGCGCGACCTCGATCGGAAGCGCTTCGGTGCTCCACCGCCAAACGGTGCACCGATGCAAGGCAAAACTCAAACTGGCTCTGCGTGAAAACGGCCCAATTCGAATTCTGCCGTCGCGGCGGTGCACCGCTTGGCAGTGACTCGCTCCCCGAGGTCTCGCGATCCGGTCGTCCGATCCAATCGCTCGAGCGATGCCATCACGAAGTCTGAGCGCTTGATTATGACAGAAGGCGTACAGATCGAACTGTACTGTGAGAAAATAAGAAAGTGAACCACCTCACGCTTCAGTCTGTGTAACGCCATATCGAAACTTCCTCCACCAAGACCGATTTCGAGAACTTTTTTCCCTGTGTTAGTAGAATCTAAGGAAAGGGACGACAAGCAGGAATGGAGCCACTAACATTCCAGCGACCTGAATCAAAAAAGACACACTTCGCGTCTGGCAGGAAGCACATTCGAAAGGAATGCTCATGAATAGAGCAGAAAAGAGCGTTGTTCGGATTGGAGGGAGCATTTTGCACGTTCCTAACACCTCTGGCTGATGTTGACTAACAAGTGTCACTTTGGTCACATCTGTAAACACCAGTGAAGCTGCAAACTTGTGTGAGTGAACCGCTTGAGTTCTAGGAATTTACAACTCTTCACAAGGTGGCTGGCTTGCACAAGTTAAGCCGAGTACCATTCGGTGCTCCCACCAAACCGAACTGCGCCGAAAAAAGGTCAAGAAAAAAAAGACATACATAATTTGAACGAATCACGGAATGATCAATCGACCATATTCTTGTGTCGGATGTTTCAAAAGTTTCGCCTAAAAAACATTTTAACAGCTGAACAAACTGTAGCCAAACAGGCTGGAATGATTCAGTAAAGAAATAAGCGAGAAAAAGATACCACTGGGAGGAACAAGACGAACAACAGTATCGCTTTCGTCCGCGAATCCATCCACAAGTAAATGCCGTTCGACGATTTCTTCTCCACTGTAATGAGGTCAAAACCCTATTCTGTAATTTGCAACAAAAACATGGGTAATTTCATTGTTACAATCTATGACTATTGAAAACATATACAATAGCTCTCACTGCACAAGCAGGGGCATGTCATTGAAGTAAGGGGGAGTGAGGAGGATGGGTTTGGCGCGGCACCACACCCGTTTTCCACCATTTGTCTGAAGCGGGCAAGCGACAACTGCTTGTGGAGAACGGGCTTCTGCCACGCAAAAACCAGTACTTCGGCACGCTCAAGCCTCTGGGCGAAAACTAATCTAGGTAAAGGAACAGGTTCATTCAGATGAACATTCAATGAGGTAGAATGAGAAAAAAGATGAAACAAAAACCTCACTTTGACGAGGATTTCCGGTCATAAACGCTATAACACCGTGCTGTCTTATTAGAACAGAGCCTTGCAATAGACATTTCGTGAAAATCCACCCTGAAATGAAACATATCTTCCATGGGAGTACGAATCGTGGGAATGATTTTCGTGGCCCTGCTGGAGGTCGCAGAAAAGAGCGACGTATCTATGTACTATGGCGCATGCGACTCTTGCAGTTTGCGCTATCCTAAGCCTAGGCCTTGGGCAGGGGAGATGTATAGAATCGCCGCTGCGTGCTCTCGCTGAACTGAGTTATCACCTAAAATTAAAACCCTCTCATGCTCAACCAAGTTCAGACCAGGGAAGTTTTGAAAATTTCTGGCACAATGCCAGCAATATGTCACGTCTGCGCCAACTGACATCCATAGGCGTTTTGGCATTATCAACTACTACTGCCACCCCAATCTTCCCACAACAGCCCAGATTTTAACCGACTTTTTCCAGGCAGGTTGGGGTAGATTCCGCTGACAGCAAGAGTTCTTGGGGTGGCTCGACCCCCTGAACGCGAATATCACATCCGCTGGGCCCGAAAGTGCCAGGCACGACACAGGCGCTAGCGCCAAAATACCCTAGATCACCAAATCCGCTGAAAACTGGCATGAGGTGCTTTTTTCATCTTGATTACAAATATGATATTCATTTGTGGCGCTGGTGTAACAAGTACGCTACGATCGTCTGCGCTATGGTAAGGCTGAGTCTGGCCCTAATCACTATTCTGCCAACGCTCAGCCTTAGTGAGCAATAAACGACGCTGGTGTCTATTATGCAAGTTTTTTATCGATCTGGATGAGAGGTGTGGCCGGTTAGAAGCGATTGTCATATTCGTGATTCCATACCGGCGCTACGGCTAAAAATGAATGTCTGCTCGTGATAAGGGTAACGAATATCTCAGCATAAAGTTCACACCGATTTTTGTGAGAAAAGTGCGGCGTGAAATTGGCGTCTTGTGGTGCCATGTCACGCCAACGCTAAAAGCGATTGCCATACTCGCGATCAGGCAATCGTATTACCCTCATGGGCAAATTCACCAAAAAAAATTTTTTCGAGTTTTCGGTGTAGTAACGGTTTCATACTATGTTCCTTCGTTGACATTCCGTAGTAAAGCGAATGGGTGGGACCTAGCTAAGTGGGCGGAGTCTAAAACACTGCGCAAGCTCTTAGCCTCCACGCCAAGCAATTTTGAGCGAAAAAGCTAC